AAAATATATTAAAATTTTTAACGTAATTAGACTTATATATTTCGATTGTGCTATATAGTTGTTCGATTTGAGGGATCGTTCCGTTATCGCGGCACAGGAATATCTTATGCACTCTGTAGCATCGTAATCTTCGATAAGAAATGTAAAACGCATAAAAACGAATCCATGAGTTGTCACGGGATGAAAAATGTCGTTTGAACGAGCATTTCAGAGAGGGATATAATTTCTCAATAGCCTTCCGTCTTTCTTTCATCGTTTTACTGCAATGATGTTTACCATATGATAATCTTGGTTTACTTCCAGTCCAAGTTGATTGAGATAATCGCGCGGGTAAACGGGACAGCGCAATGATCCTTAAAACAATTTAAGATCAGTCGTTTTAAAGTTTAATTAATTATTGCCGCTTAATAAATTATTAAATTTACAAAATAAGATTTAAGTGATTAATTATCTATTAATTCCGTCATGGATACGTTCCTATATAATTTAATTGGAAATGTCAATCGGCTCGTTCGCGTCCTTCGTAATTTGTTACAAATTACGAATGTATGAGATTTCTCATCGAGACTTGCAAGTGTCTTACACGCAAAGGAACGACTTGAGCAATTTTCTTGTTTTATAGTCGATGAAACGTGACGAGACTTCTCTGTTAGGGGTAGCCAAGAGTTATTAGCGGCTTTGTCTGCGAGTTTCACCGTTCTTCGAATGACGAGCGAATGCGCGAGTGCGATGCATAACGATTGTTGGGTAAATTTAAGGTGAATCTGGATGATCAGACGATCAGGCCGATTGAATTTTGGACGGGTGAAAAGGGAAACGCATTACGTTATTTTTACTGGCTGGACGGCGCCAGGGCTGGACGGGGTACCGTGAAACTTGGAAATACCGTGTTGGAAAAACTCGAATGTAAATAACGAAACTCTGACAGGCACTGTCTGATTAGCCGATACATTCGGCTGCGTTCGATACTCGAAATACTGTCCAGTCTTATCGCGTTGAATTTATACATACAGACATACACGATTTGACTTGTAGTGAGACAGATAGATGAGAGTTTTGAAGGGAGAAGTAATAGAAGCATACAGTGTGAATGAGATGAGGAAGCAATTGTACCGCCGCTTTGTTCCAGCTTAATTCCTTAGAATTTTGCCTAAGCGCGTCAGGCTCTCGCGGGAGCATCTCGTTGAGTCGACAGAAGCCGTCAGAAGCGGGAAGTCGGGAATAGTCAATAGTATGTAGGCACGATTATTAAAAGGGAGAGTTCGGGATTTATTTTCTTATACATATTTCTGTCGCGCGTCATCAACTTTTGCATCACATCGCTCATAAATATTCGTTTATCCGCCATATAACTCGATCGCCTAATTTCCTTAGCACATTCCAGTTAGCTTTACGGGAATTTTCGGTCGAATCGGTTACGTTTGTTCACGTTGATGGCCCATCCGTGTATTAAAAAGATTTCTTTTCTTTTCTTGTATCGTCATCTACTTTGAGAAACATGAAAAGAAGATCGATGAACGGATACTTGTGAGCGGTGTATTTTGAACATAAACGGAAAGCCCGATGACAAATGCAGGCAAGTCAGGGCGAGTGCGCGACTCTGCGAAAGCTGGCGAAAGCTGGCGTAGGTATCTCAATTCTCAATCGTTGGCCAGCTCGCAATCGAGTTACACCGATCGGTCATCGCGGTATCGAATGTGTGTGTGTTGTTCTCCTTCTCATTGTCACTGTCAGTTCTCACCAACCACACACACACACACGATATGCATACACGCATGTTCTCCTTCCTCGATTCATGCTATGACGACTCAACTGACGCTATCGTTGAATGTCATTGAATGTCGTTGAATCACGTTGAACGTGCCCGACCGGTACGACCTCGTGACCTCGCGAAAGAATCGACCAATCGACGTCACTCGCATTCGTGAACTGTCAAAAACCGGATTATGACATTTTTGACAGAGGCACTTCTGGCACTTACCTCCCTGCACAGACTAGAACAGACTGCCATTAGAGTATCATTAAGATGATAATTAACAAAATAAAGAAAGGAACGAAGCCCGCTTGTCCCAGCTGGTCCCAGATCTCCCGTAACCGTGTTGAGATACTCGACAGAATGTCGATTCCCGCGGTTCCTCTAATCAATCCCCTCTCGCATATCAATCGATATATTATTGCCTCGTATAATTTTCGCGATTCCTAGCAATTCGTAGGGTTCCATCGATGCACAGAGACGACGGGACATCGGGACAGCGGAATTATCTCCTTTGCCTTTCGTCCAAGAATTCCTCGTCGCGCTTCTCGTATTCTCGTATTCTCGTGGCCGAAGTAGGGTGCAGACCCGATTAAAAAAAGATCGAGCGCATCCTGCATTGTGACATATCATTTATTCTCTCACGTAATATTATAATATATAATTAATAATTATATATTATTAGATGGCGGAAGAAAAAGAAATCGCTGCGCCATGTGCATAATGCATCGCACCGCGCGATCATTGTATGGGGGATAACTGTGATAACTGTGTATCCAGCTTTGAGAAGGAGACGACTCGATTGCGTTTGTTAATTAATTGTCTTCTTCAGAACAGGCACACTATCGCGAGGAATTTCGTAAAGCGATGTAAAATAGTTTTGTTTCGTCTACCAAGAGTACTATCGAGGGTCTCACTTGCCACCGTTATTTTTCTCTCTTCTGTTTATGTATAGCCTTCCTTCTTTCAACTCTCTTTAAACGTTTTTTTACCGTCTACGAAAGATATTGCAAAAAGAATCCTCACGAAATTCCTTCTTTTCATCGCGAAATCAAATTTTTAATCCTAGTAATCTTTAATTCTAGTCCTTAAAAAAACAACAGAGTCTTTAAGAAAAAAATGGAACGTCGAACGTTCGGAAAAAATTATTAAAAGTATATATTTAGGTCCTACGAATTTTAAATAAATTATTTTGAATTCTCCCGAATCCATATTTTTTTTTCTCGTGTATCCATCGCAGGGATTTAAAAATATATAGTATGTCACATTGTATACTTTACTATACAAACTTTCGAATCGAGCAGCCCGACAATTATAATCTTTAATTCTATCATAGATCTTATAAGATCTATGGATTTTATAAAAACACACACAACACGTGTGTAATGTGTATAGACATATATTTCTTATATGATATAATTGCGTTCATGCCGCAAAAACAAGTGAAGATAAATTTGTGTAACGAAAATGCAAGAGAAAATCTTTGTATCATTCGTGCGAATAACGAATGACGAAATGAGACTCTTGGTTCGCAGTTTTTTTTTCTGCGGCATGAACGTGATTTTTTTTTTATGAAAATATGAGAAACGAGAGAGAGAGAGAGAGAGAATGAAAGAATGGACAAGATGTTGTACGACATGGAATATCGAGCCTGAGACTGTATAATAATTATAAATAAATGTACACACGTTAAGACCAAAGGACAGATGTCGCAATACATTTCCTTTTGATAATATTGTTTAATAGTACTCTGTTCGTTTTTTTATATTCTGATACAATATCTACGATTACTCTTTTATAATATTTTGTGTTTTCCTGGTAATCGCTTCCTTCTCTTGCTGTAAGATTTGAATGTAAATCTTACATTTATTAACGAGAAACCTTTAATAAAAATAAGTCCTACCCAATTGAATCAACGTTTTATTAAAAACAATGATCAATCTTACAAATGTTCCGAAATAGTACCAATACATCCTAATATACAAATTTGTATAATAATGACAAAGATATATGTATATATATTTTATAGAGTAATCATAGCACAGTAATGTATTTGTCGTGTAAAATAAAAAATAGCATCGAATAGCAGGAAAGAATTTCACTAAAATCTCATTTTAATTTGTCAAAAACACGGAGGCGAGTTTAAATCGAGTTTCGTGCAACCGTCTTGTGGTGAGATTTGCGAGGAGCAACTGCGGTAATAAAATGCAATAACAAAAATTGAATACAACTATTAACCACTTTGTGCTTTAAGTTCAATAACAGAAATTTAGTGCGACTTTGGAGTGACGAAAACGTTGATGAGCATTATCAACGATACTTGATTGATGAATTGTATGTACGTTAAGTTTACGATTCGATTCTAATAACATTAAAATCTTCTCAACTAAGGAGATTTGCGGACTCGTCGTTCAGTGAAACTCTTTGGTTCGTATGCAGTTTGCCGTCTTTCCAAGGAAAACTTTCGTTCAGAATCGATTTATAATAAACGCTCTGCTTTTGAGCATGCTGATTGTAGGTAAGCGATTTCATGATACAAATAGAAAATTTAATTCTAATTTGTAATTGTGTCTATAAATATAGTTTTTATGAAAATCAAGCATTACTTAATGGCACACAGTAGTAAATTATAACGTTATTTCTTGATGTGATTTTTCCCTTTAGTTTCTCTTTAATATGAATGAAATGATGTACGATATATCATAAAATCGAATAACATTGGGCGCATTCAGCGGACTCAATAGTTGAGTCCGCTGAATGCACCCATTGTTCAGTAGTTGCGACTATACACCAGAAGGAACTATTTTCGAGAACAATCGATAAGCTAAGCTAAATCGTGATGCAAGTAATACAAGCAAATCTGTTTTATGATATATCGATCACCGGCAGCAAAAGTTTTCTTGGAAAAAAATTCGTGTAAGAATGTATTCGCTGCATCATTTCTCGTTTGCTCACATGACTAGAATATCTCTTTCTTCTCATGTGATGAGCTATCTTTATTTTTTTTTATCGTTTCTAGAGAAAAAAGCTACTACACTCGATTCATGAAGCATATAAGTCTCGCTCGAAAGCGATGCTGTCTTCGACGAAAACTCCATTTCGTTTGTAACCTTTATCTGTACCAAGTACTGAATTCTACGTAATTGAAACATGCGGTCTTGTATGCGCGTCTGCGAATCGAGGACATGATCCTTCAAACATACGAGTTGTTTGCGTTTTAACAGAGGAACATGCCACGAAATTTGTTCGGAATTGTAGATTGCCTAATACAACATAGGTACAAGCCACAAACTCTCACTCTAGACACGAAGGTATAATAGCTCAACTCCCAATATATGCCGCATGCTGACTTCAGAATAACATCGTCCGCTATGATGTCGCGCAGACATATTTTCATAATCAATGGATTTATTTCTTCAAGATGACCGTTGATTTTGTTTATTGATGAATTATGACTAATAGGACGTCTCTAACAGAGTCTTCGCAGACGACGCTGATGCGACGACTGCATCTGTTTCAACGAGAACATGCTCATAGACAATCCAAAGGTCGCGAGGAAGATTGCGGACGTCGCCGTGCCACGATCGAAGTTCTTGGTCCTGTAAAAAGCTGGGCTGGCTCCCTGGAAAAAATTATCGTAGGGTAAACTTTTTTTTTTGGAAGTAAAACATCTTTTATAATTAATTCTTCTATATTTATATAGAAAACATTTTTAAGAAAATATAATTTTATATTTAATTAATAATACGTCTGTTGGGGTTACAATACAGTTATCTATAATTTACATGTATCTTTGTTATAATTTTAACCCATAACAGGAACACATTTTTTTATGATGCTAAAATAATAAACATATGGGTCTTTGGGATCTATTAATATTTTTTGTTAGTTCATTTTCTTTAAGAATTTTTTAAATTCTCATTTAGATTATTTTTAATCTATGGCACAAGGCTATTTGGAAAACACAAATAAAATGTTATCAATAAACTTTATTGCTTCTAACTTGTTGTTAAACTTAAACACGCATTGACCATTTTTTCATAAATTATTATATGTATATTATATCTAGAATCACCATGTGTTACTTTACATGTATGTATGTTCCAATTACGAGTTAATATCAATAAAGTTTCAGGTTCTCTCTCACAATTTTTCAAAAAAGAAATCAACTGGAAATAACCTACAAAAGGAAAACTTTCCGTTTATAAAATATAGAGGTAGGAATGGGAATTAATTGAGCGTTAATTAAAGTACCGTGGGGCTGAATTCTCGAGACTTACGTTAATATGTTTTTACTACCTATATTTTTACCTGATTCAGTGTCAACCGGAAAGCGTACAGCGCAACATGAGTCGAACGCATCTCGTTATTGCAGTTTCTTTGTGTATTCTGAAAGAAAAAAATAATTTTTATAAGTATCTTCTCCAAGCAAATTACTTAGTAAACAGTTTGCGATTGATTTTCAATCAATGTTCACTAAATATCTTCGAGTTACGGGTTGCATGTCGCTTCATTTTCGAGAATAACGAATAAAAACGAAATCATAGAAAACGCACCGTACTTTTTTTTTTCTCGATGAGACACACGAGATAACACATACTCAGCTTATTGTTAGTTTGGCTGTGCGACAACTGCGTCGAATGAAACGCGAATTATAAAACGGACGAATGAGAAGTGTACATCGAGGCCACGAGAGAACTTTATAAAAGATAAAAATCCCTTAACCACTCTTATCACTCGCAATAATGAATTCGGAACGAGATTATTAACACTCGTCTGAATTGTAAAACGTTATTAAGTGTAATGTTTCCCATCTATTGCACAAAAAAATAAACACGGCATCGAGATGTTTACATCAAAAGCGCCACGAGCCACGATTAATGGTAAAAATATAAAAGAGATACGTATAATTTAAAATCTGTGTGATTTTAATAATCCTTTTAATACGAATTATAAGGTTTTTTTCACAAGTAAGATTAAAGGTTTAATCTTTTTCAAATTATGTATGTCTCACAAATGAGCGAGATTCAAGTATCTCGTCCTCGATTTCTAAATGATAGATAAAATAAAAATCGAAGACTTTTTTTAACTATTTGGAGGAATTTATCAAGATTCTAAAAGAGTCTCACAGAGTGTGCCTTCCAACAAGCGACACAAATGATACGGATGTGACACAATGGATCATTACATCCTTGTTGTTTGCCAATGTTAAACAAACATGATTACTGTGTCGCACTGTGTCGCTTGTTGGAAGGCACACACTGTTAACGATTAGTTTAATTTAATTTTTCAAATACTTGAAAAGCAAAAAGACAGCAAATATAGGACTGCAAAAAGTAAAGAATTAACGCCGCCAAAGAAGTGTGCTGTTGCACACGACATTGGCATTTGTAATTTACGTATAAGAATCGACAAATATTTCTCAACAAAAAAATATAAAGAATAGTTTATAAGATATTGAAATAATTCAGAGTCAATCGAATTATGAAAAAAAAAGGATATATATTTAAACATCAGTAAAGAAGAAGAATATCACAAGATATCACAAGATATCAGACCTGACGAGCTACATCGCGAGGAAAATAACGTGAATCAATCGAACCAGCCCTATATACTCTTTAAGGATTCTCTACATAGAAGTCGTAGACGGTCGTGGAATCTTAAGTCGTAGGAAACCAATCAATCACAATCAAATATAAAGAGAATATTCGATTAGAATTGGTCAGTTTCCTATGACTTAAGACTCCACGACCGTCTACGACTTCTATGTAGAGGACCCTTTAACGTTGCGTGTCATCGAGTTATCGCGAGTGACGCGAAGACGCGACAAAGACTCGTTTGCAGCGGATATTTCCGATAAATACATTCTGATGCGCTATTGACAATTATCAGGAATTGCCACAATCGCGGGCGAATCGTTTCTCTCGTACCAATCTTATTCAATGTTACTTGGCGAAAGGGATCGTTGTTAATTCGTAAGAGCAAAAAACGAATGGGCGCATAATTCGAAAGATGAGCTCCTTTGTGAACATCGTTATCAATAAGTAGCTGTCCATCACTGTCAAACACTGATATGACCTAAATCGTTACACGAGATTTATTGCTACCTTCTGCAATCACACGCAAAAGTAATACGGGTATATTACGGGCACAGTACGAACAGAGAATTAAAGATGTATATACCAATGTTTACGAAAATATTGAAATAAATGAGCAAAATTGATTAAGCAAAAAAATTATTAGACTATCTATCCAGACAACTAAAATTACATATATATATAAAAGCGTCATCATACATATGTATAATTAAATTATTACGTTATAAATTTTATTAGACAACTGTTGATTATATAATAATTAAATCACACATAATAACTTTGATTATATAACCAATAGGTTAAAGTAAACAAAACTGCTATATTGTAAATAAAAATACACTATTATAAATAAATTATATAAGTAAGAAAGCTCACCAAACATTGTCAAGGCTGGACATTATGATGCCTTAATAATGATATGTACGATTATTGATGTTATAAGTGCTTTGAAACATTTTTTGATTGATGAAATTTTCTTTTTTTCAATTTTGTTCAATCAAATGCTTTGAAGCATTTGTAGCCGCACTCACTATTTCTACATAAATTTTAAATATATTCTTTCAGTTATATAAGTTGCACGCCACTTGCTTACTTACTGTCAAGAGACAATATAATGCAACATATATAATAATAATCTCACAAATTTTAAATTAATCAATTTGATAATAACGCTACTAGCCACTGTCTCAAAACATTGTAAAAAAAAAAAACTCATTGCGAAAAATATTACCTTACTCAGGATTTAATAAACCTGAAACCTCTCGACTATCCAGTATAGGTGTCTTTCTTGCAAGTCAAACAGTAATGGGCGCAGTTTATATAACTGAAAGATGTATTTAAAATTTACATAAAAATATTATTAGACACCAGTGTCTACCCTCAACTATGTTTGGCGCCTTCTTATCTAGCTAATTTATTACATAATATTTATATTATTAATCACAGATAAAATGAAATACAATTAGAAACCGACAGGCTCGAATCGAATTAAATCACCCAACGTTTATTCTTCACGAGAGAGTTAACTTTTCGTTACGCAATAATTTCCGCCCAAAATTAAATTATTTACGAATTGATGATAAACTAATGATTACGTAACTGAGTCGGCGAACGACTACATTCAGTTTGGATTCTTGCAGCGCTTTTGTCCTTGTTTTACATCTATGAATAATAAAGACAGAATGATGATTATAATCTGTTGAAAGAGCGTGAGCGTCTACACTGAATCGGAACGATGTGACGGTTCTTATCATTCGCGAGACGAGATCAGGCGAGATGCAAGCGGCAGTAGAGAGTCGAGTCCGCCAGAGATGCACGACCTGCGAATTCTGCGATGAGATGCCGATTGCCGCGGTCCACGGTTGATGGATGACAGGATCACGCAGCGCTCGGCGGTTGCAGAAGAAGCCAAGGTTGAATATAACGTAACGAGCTTACCCTAAATCTAGAATCACACCTTCAAGTCACACGACGCGCTTCAGGGATTTCAGTCGATTTCAGGACTTTAGACACCGGCCGAGTATCTCTGTGTATCTCCTAAGTCAAACTTGACGGAATCTTCTTAATATTACTTAAAAATATTGAAGACTTAAATTCTACGAGCATACTTTGGCAGTCCAATTAAAGATTAATCCTCGATTTCTCACTCTGAACCGTTCGATATTAAAGTAGTAACGAAGGAAAAATAGTTGTCTCATCCCTCCGAACGATCTTCTCAGATTCAATCAAAAGATCGAATCTCAACGTTGGACATCCGTATGATCCGTATACAGGAAAGCTCACATGCACGAGGCGAAACTAACCTCTAAACTGCTCTAAACCGATCTTCCGTTAATTCCGCTCTTGATTCACTACATTCTACGAAGGAGATTCCTGACGCGACGATGGTACAAGTTTGTCGTTCATGGAGGAAAGGAGAGTTAGAAGAGGCGCGTGATCTTACATCTTACCAAATCTTGCGGAAGGAGACACGCCGCGGCGTTATGCCTCTATACGTGACCTAACCTATACGTCCGCGACTAACGGCTTCACTGCGACTGGGCGACACCGACGACTGCTTGATTCAGGTCCTTTTCCGCTTTTTTCTCTCGTAAAAAAAACGTTTCCTTTAAAAAGGTGTTTTTTTTTTACAAGAAAAGTTTTTCTGATTTGTTGCATAACACACGATTACGTGATTTGATGTTTATATTTATAGAAAAATAATTCTCATGGTCAAGCGCGAAAAATTTCCTTAACCTCCCGATGCATGGCATCTACACCAGCCTCTTTTCAGAAAGACAAGAAATGGTTGTAATAATTAGAGCCAGCTCAGCCAGCCAGACGTTTTATCAGTTTTTTAAAATCTCAATCGCGCCTGAAGCGTGAAACTTGGTTGTTTCTATCTTACAATATTGCTTATTATTACAAGAATCAGAATAATTCGATGATGTGGAAATGTACCTCACTGTCGCTACCTGACTTTCGTCGATGATTGTAAATTTAACGATGATTACACCGACGAAATTACGGATTTTCCGGACATCGAAACGTGAAGTGAAACAGACTACTTACCCGTCTATGTCGAAACTGGTCGAAACCAGCTGAGAAAAGAGACCAGCACAAGCTCAGTACCAGAAAATATACGCTCCGTTTCCGTCGCAATCCACATTCCAGTGAATAGACGACTTGACCATAGACTTATGACTTATAAGATAGACGGAGCATTCGTACGGGAGTCGGGAGAAGCTGAAGACGTGATAGAAAGAGAAAGAAACAGTCGCGGAGTAGTTCTCTTCCTTTCTAGTAGTGAATTGATTGGTCGCCTTACGCTCAAGCTAATTGGTCCCCCACCGCTCACTGTAAAAGAGGGAAACAACTACGTCTGGAGTTCAAGGCCCGTCTACAATACACGGAGTAAGAAGTAAGAGTAAGAAATTGACCAATCACAGTCGATTATTCTTCTCACATTCGACTGTGATTGGTCAATTTCTTACTCTTACTTTTTACTCCGTGTATTGTAGACGACGCCTTATTGTACGCAGGCCCTAACTTATACTCAGCTGATATTTGATAGGTTGAAATCTTAATATTTGTTCTATTGTGTGTGCGCAGGCCCCAGAGACTCGCTAAATTTGAAAGAGAAAGGAGAAAAGGGCATGTACATATATACCTATACATTATTCCATTATCATCTACAATATAATTATTAATTTTTTATTTGAATGCTCTATATATTGCGTTCTTGCAATATTTTGGAAATATGCGCTATGTAATATACTGGTTTGTATCTGAAATAGTCCTCTATAAAAATATTAAGATTTGGATTTGAGCTCAAATAAAGAATATAATATGAATTCTAGATTTTTGTAGCAGAATTTGTTGTATTTCTTATCCTTCTCTCCCCTCTCTTTTTCTTTAGCATCTGTAATACGTAATACTTATATACTTGTTTTAGTAAATGTGTAGAGAGATAACAGCGATAAAAAACTACTTCTATATGACGTGGACGGAGTAACCAGATGGAGATACCATACATGGAAAAACATGCTATTGCTAAAAAAAAGTGATTACTCACCAATTTATTCTTTTCCTTTTCATTTTAGTTTACAACTTAAAAAATGACACGAATAATGTCGAAACGTTATAATTTATCTTCTTTTGAAGAATATTGTAAAATTTTAGAAAAATTTGATATACTAAGCAAATTAAACTTGTTTTAATTTAATAATTTTGATTGAAATATTGAACTTGTTAGGATCCAGAATATATTTGGAATAAATTTGACATGGTTTTGTGACGCTTATTACGATAGATTTACGAATATATACCTAACTTTTGTGTGAAACAATTAAATGATAAATATTTAAATATAATATGTATTTATAATTCTCGTGTATACAGGATCTCATTCTACTCCACAACTACTGGCCTGCAATTCCTGCAACTGGCAAACCAACATGTGACAATTCCCTAACAAGTAAGTAATCCATGAGTTTGCACACGACGTATAGTCATTTCGGCTTGAAAAATTCTTGAAAGTTTCTGCGAAATCGTATATCTGATTACTTAAATATTTTATACTTTGAATATACTCGGATAATGGATACGATATATAGACTTCCTTTCTTCTAGGTAAGGAGCTCTCAGTGTTGGATTTCTTGTCCTATCGGGTCAGGAAGAGGCTCATCTTAATTCTCAAGCGCTGTGGCAATCTAGATTATCTGGAAGTGTGAATCAGAGGCGCCATCGGCGGGACACGATCATACACAACGGGAGTAACGGAACAGGGTCTGTTTATCGCAGACCTAACCCGGCCCGGCGCGGCGCGGCCCGGCCCGGAGCTGCCCGAGCACGAAGCACGGAGCAGTGAGCACCTCTCTCCGCCCCCGCCCCCGTCACAGCAGTCTCGCGGTTTCACCGCTCTGATAGGTGACGTATATGATATACCCGTGGACGGTGGCGGTGGCGGTGGCGGCGGCTATCTGCCAACCATTCGTCGTTCGTGCTCGTTCCTGGTCGGTCAGTACGCGTAGTCGACTGTCGACACAGTGTGTCTGTCTGATTCGGGGTAGCTTGCACATGAGTGTATGCAAATCTCCACCGTTCGCTCTCCATCTCGCTCCGGCTCTCTCTGTCTCACGTCGTCTCTCTTCTTCACGGCGGGACAGATTGGCTCCGCGGAAGATGACCGACTCCGAAATCGAGATGCATTACACCCCACCGACGTCGGATACCATCCAGACGAAACCGTTCCCGATTCGAGGTAATATTTTGAGGGTCTCTTCACTCTCTCTTCTCTCTCTCTCTCTCTCTCTCTCTCTCTCTCTCTCTCTCTCTCCCCCCCCTCTCTGCCCCTCTCTTCCCCTCTCTCCGGGTGCGCACCGCTATATACCTATACCTTTCTCCTTCCCCCTCCCTCCTTCGCCACCCGCACTCGTAACTCTCGTAAGATCGACATCGAACACGTGCGAGGAACGTGAGCTCGCGGTTGCGTTTCGGAGCAAGTTCAAGGTCTCCGATCTCGCGGTCAATGTACCGGGTGTCTTCTCCCCTGTAATAATGCGATCATCGCACCGGCTGTCTCCGTATCGCGCGAGATACAATCGAGCGGATCGAGTCTCGTCAGATCTCGTCAGATCTCGTCACTCGTCACTCGTCACTCGTCGCCGGAAAGCGCAGGAGCGGGAAAACTTGTACCTACCTTCGACTCACGCCACAACTCCCACAAGCGCGAATTCCCCTTCGACATTTAACCATATCACGAATATTTTGCAGAAATGACAAGACAATCCTATTTGTTTACGCTTGATACCTCCTTAACTCTCCGATCTCCAAAACGATCAATCTAATCGGAGGGACACGAACATTAATTAAATGATGATCGATTTCGTCGGAAGATCTTGTAATTGCTCATCGTTTTATTGCATCCTTTCAATTATTATGCAATTCTTTTTTCACTAACATGTCTATATTAGCATACATTTAGTTTTTAGTTTAACAGGAAAAAAAGTTGTTAGATAACAAAAAGAAAGAACCAAATATTTATCTCTTCCCAGATAGCGCGTCGAACATTTATACAGTATAATATCGTATAGTAACGTTATAACGTTATAACGTTGTTCTTAGTCACTGTCCTCCCGGAGAAACATTTCGACAAGCAGAATATATACTTGATGTGTGCATATCGCGTTGAGACTGCAAGATAAATTATCACTTTTTGTTCCACTAGCAACCTTGAGCAGTCGAGGAATGATTCGTGAATAAGCCAAAAACAAAAAGAATCTCTCTTATAATATCCGAGTTTACTGACGGAATTAGCTATGTATCATTTCCTTCGTGTACGAGGATAAACAATTTGATATACGCATATTATCGCTTTTCGAAGAAACAAACTCATTGATAATGCGCTAAGCGCATTAAATATATCCGAGGAGGAAGAATAAACATCCTTAAAAAAAATCCATAGGTATATCCATAGGTATATATAAAATACGATTTATTTATGTATTTCTAATCTTGAGCCGATAAAACTGACTACGTATATATATTTAAAATTATTATTTTAACTTTATTTTGATATCACTTTTATTGAAGGTATGCGAATGCGAAATGGAGACTGCAAACTGTAAACCCTTCAGGCAGAATTATATTTGTCGACGGACGATTAACAACGATATGTGATTGGAATAATTATATGAATTTAAAAGGAAAAGTCAAAAGAGTACTTCGGACGAATTCCAAAGTATCTTATCTCATTTTTCAACTAAATTATATCTCGATATTCCTGATATTCGAGATTCATGATTAGAAAATTAGTAGAACCATCGAGTATGTATTATACAGTCTGATCATCACGCCAAGAGATGCCAGATTTCAACGAAAAATAGTTTTCCAAGTGTGTCTTGTATTGGTGATATATGATTAGATCTAGTTTCGTAAGAGAGTTAAAAGACGTGGCATATATATACATAGATAACAAGGATCAAATTATGTAACTGCAATTTTTTAAGCTAAATTACAACTGATAGTATCAATTGTCGAACGGACATCTGTTGCATGTAGAAGCGCGAAATGTAACATATCTCGATACTACAATATTGAATCGGATTTTGGGTTATCGTATTGATATTGAAATTAATACAGTCTATCAATCCATGGGTATTTGTGCCTGATAATATTTATACATATATAATATCTAAAAATAGCTCTATCAATCGAGGGATTATTAATGATCCCTCGGGCATTTAATTTTCTGCGTCCAATATTCGTCCTTATTAGATGTCCTTTTATATATATATATTTTTCATATTTTTATCTCTTTTACAGGTGAACGTGCAAATTTCGTGAATAAGCCTCATGTGATCGCGATGGTCGGTCTGCCGGCCCGCGGCAAGACCTACATATCCAAGAAGTTGTGCCGATACCTCAATTGGATCGGTATCAGCACAAAGGTTTTCAACTTGGGCGAATATAGGCGGCATGCTACCACCGCCTATCAGTGCCACGAGTTCTTCCGTCCCGACAACATAAAGGCTATGGCAATACGCACGCAATGTGCGAAGGACGCTCTAAATGACGTCTGCCAGTGGCTGGAGAGCGGTGACGGAGAAGTGGCCGTCTTTGACGCCACCAATTCTACGGTCGACAGACGTCAGCTGATACGCGATATCGTCGTACGCAAGATGGGTTTCAAGCTATTCTTCGTCGAATCGGTGTGCAATGATCCAGAGATCGTCGAGCAGAACATTATGGAAGTATGTACTTGAGAAATAGTCAGAGATAGCGATTGGACAATAAGTTATTTGTATATTGAGAATTAATATCAATTTTAATTTAACGTATATATATACACGTAACTTTTTTAAGATGGTTAATGAGATTAATAAAGAGATTTTTTTAAAAAAGAAGCAGAATATATGTGTGTATGAAAATATCGATTGGTTGTAACGTTGCAGTAGATTAATATGTTCGTAAATTAATATTAATATATAATTGATTTAATAGATATATGATTGATAAACACAAGTATTTATTTAAACGTTCCAATTCTGTTATCCAGGTGAAAGTCAGTAGTCCGGATTACGCGAACATGAAGAAGGAGGATGTGCTTGCGGACTTTATGCTACGAATCGAACATTACCAGGAACGATATCAGCCGTTGGACGAGGAACGCGAGAGCGACTTGTC